AAATTCTGTTGCATGAAAAACTTGAGAACTAAACAGTATCCTTGACAGAGAAATGGAAAGTTGTTTGAAAGCACTCTGTCGCGCTCTCTCTTCTCTTCGCCCTCCCCATATCTATCCAGCTCTGAGAAAGGTCCTTTGAGTTCCACCAACATCTTTCTGTTTTTCTGCATTCCTGAATCCCAAACATCTGTTAAAAATTGGATGTAGAAGAAAATCTCCCACAGAATATGAGATATAAAGCTTTTAATTTACAATGGACAAAACACCAAAGGACCACTCCTAAACCATGCTTAATGAGCATGCATACAATATACTTTCAACACAAACAACTGATAAAAAGCACAGGAACGCTCTTGGTGTAGACATTTATAAAGAACACATCCCTATGTTATCAAGAGATTCAAATGCACATAAAACGTTTTGATGTGGGCTTTCAATCCAGATTGTGAAGCAATTTTGATATATTTAGGGATACATAGGGATATTTAATACTAACTGTTTCCAGCATGCAATCAACTTCCATAGGGCAACAGGGATTTTTACTCATGCTACTCTGAAGCCTGTTCATGTGCATTCTATCAGTAGCTTGCATTTTACTGCTGCATGAACAGAAGGAAACCAAGTACGCTGGAAATTTGCAAATGGCACACTAGGGGAGAAGCCTAGATCTTCTGAAGGTTACTCATCTAACCTACCCCACGAAAGGCACCTTTCTCAAATTTTGCAATTGAAAACTGTGTTATGCTCATAAAAAAAGGATGGTGAACCTGTGGCACTCCAGATGTTGTTAGATTTCAATTCCTATAGGCCTAGCATTATCAATGATCAAGAACGATGGAAGTTATAGTCCAATACCATGCCTGGGAGACACACACACACACACACACACACACACACACACACAGACACACACCCTGCTTGAGCTCCCTGAGAATAAATGAAAGCTCACTATTTGGATGGTCAATGTTTCTTACTGAAGGAATACAGAAAGCCATTTATTTATTTTATTCCACTTTTCAGGAAAATATCCTCCCAAAGCAGCAAACATAATAAACAAACAAACAAACAAACAAATAATACCAATATAAAAAGAACACAATTTGGAACTTTGCATTACACCACCGCAACAGTAAGGGCAAATTAGTCAGATCCACCAAGATAAAAACAACCAGAGGTATGATAAGCATTTAGTTTTATTTCCAGCTTTAGACTGTAAAACTAGGGAGAGAATTGTGCTCCTAGGAGGCCACACCTCTGCTTGGGTTCAAGCCTAATGGCTCACACAAGTGTTGACGCAATGAGCAAAGATAACCTGCTGCACCAGAATAGGAGCAGAGGTGCTTCCATCCATGAACTATAAACCTTTCCACAAGCTATTAACGATTACAACATGTTTTATATTTACACTTTGGCTGTGTACACACGACTGTCTCAAAACTCAGCAATGTTGTTCCCCACCCCTCCACCACACTCTGCATTTCAGATGACAGTTGCACATCTCCGATGTGTTTCCAAGTGGACCACTATTCACATCAAGGAGTGGAGAGGGGGAAGTATGTTTACATGTTTCTTTTGTTTTGAAATCAGATTGAAGCTACTTTGGAGGAAAATGCATCAAAATGCAGTACTTCTTGCATTCACAGTTTCTCAAACCAGGGATGGGATGCAGAGTAAATGGGAGCGTGTACACAGACTTGTGTGTGACCACTACAGACACTAGTAGAATACTACAGACACTAGTATAATACCAGTGTGGTGTTTGAAGTGCAAAGCAGTTCTTCAATAGAAAATTTCAACTTGACCAACATACACTGATACTGAGATTTGTGTGTGTATGTGTTGGTTTTAAACCCATAACCTTCAAGGCAGGATAGGAAAGCAGGTACTGTTGTTTTACTTTATGTGGCAAAAGGGTAGCAGAGAACTGAAAAACGGAAGGGACTGGGGAAGCATACAAGGATCAGCAAGGAATCCAGGGAATGAGGAGCAAAAGACAAACCAGTATGGTGGCAAAAGGCAACAACAGAGAAGAAAGGGTAACTAAAATAGTCAGTAGAGGGACATGCTAAAAGTAAGGGATTGGGGCAGGGGGGGATGGGAAAAAGAATGTGCAAAAGTGGTTTGGGAAAGATAATATTAGAGAGAATCATCAACTGACTAGCGAAGAGATGGATAAAAAGCAGGGGGAAATGGAAAATATGAAGAGAAAGCAAGGGAGACAATTGTGGTTCCCAAGCTCTACAGTGCAGCACTGAGCTTGCTCCACACATGATTGTTTCCCATGAATTAGTGAAGCACTGCCCCATTAAGGTGAATGCAGAGAATGTACTGTAACAATAAATATGCACTGTAAATTTCCAATCCAAAACAGAGCAGTGTGCTATGGGAGCATAGCTCAGCCTCTCTCCACAGCTCAAAAGGATTTCTAGCTCTTTAATGCAAAAAGGAGATAAAGTTGCACATGCACTGCACTGTATATGCTGCTTGGAAACTATACTTGGAAACTGTAATTGCAGCTTCAAATATTTAACAACATTTGTGGGGGGAATATGCAACCTCAAAAAGGAGACATATGACACACTCTCTCTCTCTCTCTCTCTCTCTCTGTGTGTGTGTGTGTGTGTGTGTGTGTGTGTGTCTAACACAGCAGGACACACACACACAACTCCAAAATGCAGGAAACGTGAACGTATATGCAGACACCTGATAATTCAAGAGTGCTTGCAATTTCATATTCAGCCACTTTTCACTGTAACTTAGAATGATCTTTCATCACATTGCCATGAATTAGTACCAAGATAGGGATCCATTCAATGGTTTAAATGAGGCAAGGTCTCATTTAAAACACTGTCTAGCAGAATTGATGCTTGAACTGATCCCGCGTTACAGGCTGGACTGCTCATTTCAAATGATCAAGTCAGCTTCCTACAGAGACCCAAAGAATGTAGCTATTTTAATTTAAGCAGCGGCTGATCAATAAGCCCAGCGGAAAACCTTAATAATGCAACATTGCGGGATATTACAAGGGTATATGAAACACAAAAACATATTTGGATTACTAAGAATGATTTGTAGAATGTCAGTACTTAGTATGGGAGGTCTTTTCTAGCCTGACAGACAAGAATATAAAAATTCCTTAAGTCACCATTGGTTAGGAATTTTCTGGTGCGCAGGAGGTGGTTCTATATGACAAGAACAAAATCTTTTTAAAAATGTATAAAAATTTCAGTTGGACTTACAGTGGACTGAACTGCCTAGAAGTACTCCACCCCCCTTCTTAGAGTAATGATGGTATGTGGAAAATAATACCACCACCACAAACAGGCTGCAGGAGTTGTTGGGGTTTTTTGGGGGGGGGGGAGTAAATCCAAGATATGGAATGAAGGGATACAGGGATTTTTGTAAAATGTGACACAGAGAGTTTGCACTTCAATATGCAGTTATTTGCAGCTTGCCAAATAAAGCTATTATTTTTCTTGTTCAGAATTAGAATCTTGTTATGACAGTTCATTCAGATCATTTTCAGTTTTTTCTTATAATTTCTCTTCCTAAAGGACTCCCTTGGAACCAATGATTTTTTTTGTTCACTGTTTTATATGCCTGCTTTTTTATCCATTTCACTCACCACAACATGTTTAATTCATTAAAAATATGTGTAAGACACTGAAAACAAATCGGGAAAATGAATTTATTTTAAATGATAAAACCTTTGTTTCACCAATACGACTAATCACCAGATCTAAGTAGTACAAGGTAGTTTCCCTTGTATATGACTAGCTAACAGATTTTTTTTTTAAAAAAAGCAATAGTAAAGACTTTTTATTTGTACAGACATTAAGTCAGGAGACATGCAAATCTCTCTCTGTATGTCTGCCTCTCTCTTTAATGGTACTCTTATAGAAAGAAGCAAATCAAGGAAAGCCCAAAAAGGAATTTTGGCCCTAAAGAGCATAACTAACCATCTACAATCCCAAATCCTGGCTCTAAAAAGACTGCCAACATAAGGCAAAGCAGGTTGCGCAAAGCTGTCTTTATGTAAAAGGCAAATGTCAAAAGAAAACCTCTGATATTTGGTTGTGGGCTCCCACTTTTCATACAGGCATTTCCTAAATCCATGTTTGATGAGCTTCCCCAGCTCTAAATTCTGCAAATTCCCTCTGGAGCAGTACAGAGTGTGCTTCATGAAAATGTCATCTGCCAGTGCTGCAATTACTCACACTCCAGCAATCATGTGCACAATGCAGAATGGGTCGAATTCAGGTGAGAATGAGAACCAGCAATCAAGCCTCTGGAATTGAGAACAAAGCCATTTTCTTTCATTTGCCATCAACACAACCATCAAGGCCTTAATTACAAGGCAAGTGTCAAGCCTGGCTGCTGAAAGGCTTATTATTATACAGCTCAGCTTCAAATCAGTTTTGTATTGATGAACTGCAAAAAGAAAAAGAAAAAAGGAGGAAGCCAGCTATGCCCCACAAGAAAGGAAACAGGGACTAAATGATTAGATGATTGGCAGGTGGGGGGGGGGGAGAAACATAGCCATTAAAAATGTATTTTTAGATAAGGAAATAAAAACTGGGCACAAAGGAGAGAAAGCAAAATACCTGAAACTATTCTATAAATACATTCCTCATTCAAAATCTGAGTTATTGAAGAATCATTCGGAAATGTATTCTAATTGATATTACATATTAACATGCGGGCACACTCCATCATCACAGAAATCCAGAAGGAAACCCCAATTTCTTATCAGGAATGCTTACTTAGCAATTCTGTAGCCATTTAAAAAAGAATGAAAGTAGGTTTTTTAAAAAATGGACGTCCTCCACCTTACCTTATATTACTGCTGTAATTAATAAGCACTGTAAATGCTACTGGTATTCACCTTTACAAGATACCTGACCCTTTTCTGTACTACCACATATTCTCATGATAATTCAGAGCTTTTGAGCCATATCATCAAAGGCCACAGACACACACATGGGCATGTCCAAATACTTATGCGTGCGCATGCAGATATATATATATATATATATATATATATATATATATATATATATATATATATATACACACACACACACACACACACACACATAATACAACACAACCTGAAAACAAAACACTGAATTACTATATATCTACTGGTGATTTTGCAATCACAGATCACACTTTTGCTTGTACAGGATAGAACACCTGATTTTTGCTGGTCCTCCTCACCCACCGCAGAATCCAGTGCCCTTGGAAAGTGACCACTCAAGATTCGGACACTGTGCTCCAAACAAAACTTCTCAAGCAGGTTTCAAATCTGCCTTAGTAAGTTCCTACTGCTGCTATATAGCTCGTAGGCATGCAAATATTGGGCTACATTTAGTTAACTTGGTGTGGTAATAGAACCTTTGCCTTGGCTGAAGCAAAGAAAATTCGGGGGGGGGGGAATGTGGGACTTTCTCCCCACAACTTATATTTGGCACACAGAGCCATCAATTTACTGGTTTCAAGTGAACTGGTAGACTGATAGCAAATTCTTAACACATCTGATATGTAGGGGGGGAGAGAAGTTTGGGTAAGTAAAAATAAAATGGGGGGTGGGGTGGGACAACAAATTTGACCAGGTCATGCAGTCTGGATTTCTGCAAGTAATTCTGATCCTTGCAACTATACTCATTCATTAGAAAGTCTTCAGGAGTAAACCCCAAGGAAAATTCCATGTAGGACAACTCCAGGAGAAGAAGCAGCTAAGGAGTAAACCCTACATAAATCCAGAGTGGAGTCCCTAAGATGGTTGGATGGCGCCTTGGACACCTCCTTCTGGCAACTCCTGCAGCCAAGCTGGTGCCAAATGTATTGTTCTGCTTTCCCTTGGACCACATCAGCAAAGCCAAGAGGTGGGTCTTGTCACCTGGGCAGCCCAGGACCTCCATACACACTTGCAACCCCGAGAGGTCACTTTGGTGCTGCTAGCACAGCAAAAACAATGCAGGAGGCAGCAGTTACAAGTTACCAGTCTCTGCAGCCACAACAGGTGCTATGATTCTCCAGCAGTTTGACTTCACCACTGAAAGCGCACTCCATTTTCTCTTGAGACAGATGGATGCCAACAACTTTATGTGTCAGTACTCACTATTACATAGTACTGTCTTATTCTATTTTTGATGCCTGTGGCAGCCAATTATGTGCTAGCATCCACAGCACATTTATCAATATATAATTTTTTATTATTATTACAATTTAATGTCCACCTTCACCCTAGGCTCCCAGGGTGGGTTACAATAATATGACTACTAGCACCTCCATCCCCCCCCAAAGAACAAATTGTCAATTGCACCGACCTAAATAATGGCAATCAACAGGGGGAAAATATGTTGTAGTATGTCACAGTCTATTGATGGGAATACTGAACAGTAGGTCTTTCTAATATCAAACTTATTTTTAACTTCTGATCATAGAGTTTTGCCATCAACTACAACTACAGGCTTCAGCTCACTATTTTATTAAATCAATCCTTCTTTGAACTCAGCTGGCATCACAGTCACCATAAGCCCCATTTAAGCAGAATGAGATGCCAAGGGTGGTATTCATTTACAGTTACTTTACTGAATTTGTGCTAGGTGGTATGCTATGTTCTATGATTTAAAATAGACCCGTACTCAAGTTTATTAAAGAGCTCTTTGCCCTCCCCCCCGCCACTGCCATTCTCTTTCGTTTCACACACGCACAAATATAGAATCCTGCCTTCAGTTTTGTTTCTTCTGCATTCTGTGCCCTTCCACACAAAAAAACATTTTCAAAAGGAAAATGAAACAGAAATACAGGGAAAGGGTTCCAAGGCGGTCCCTATGTTTTATCCAGAGCATGTAGGTTTCTGTTTCATACTACTTCCGAGAGGAACATAGCCATGGCCATTTGACATATCTCCAAGGAGGTACTTAAGGTGGAAAGTTTCAGATTTTCCAGTTAAGTTTACCAATATGGGTTTAATTAATTGATCCCTTGCTTCAGTGTGGTGTAGTGGTTAAGAGCGGTAGACTCGTAATCTGGGGAACAGGGTTCGTGTCTCTGCTCCTCCACATGCAGCTGCTGGGTGATCTTGGGCTAGTCACACTTCTCTGAAGTCTCTCAGCCCCACTCACCTCACAGAGTATTTGTTGTGGGGGTGGAAGGGAAAGGAGAATGTTAGCCGCTTTGAGACTCCTTCGGGTAGTGATAAAGCGGGATATCAAATCCAAACTCTTCTTATTTAAAAAGAAAAAAGAAAAAAATTGATCCCTGGCTTGTTTGAACTGCTCACAGTGTAGTAGGATATGCTTCATAGAGTCGACACCCTGAGAGCATAAGCAGAGCCTATTCTGATAGGGTATACCAGGTAGTCTGTCGTTTAGTACTTCTGATGGAAATACATTTAGTCTAGCTTTGGTGAATAACCGACGATAGTTGGCTACAGACAGATTCATGAAATGTGATGGTAACTGAAAATCATGGCCATAGTGGATTTCAAATGCAAATGGTCCACAGCTTACATAGGATCTAGAGCAAAGATCACCATGTGAAATATCCCATAACTTCTGCTTCAGGGATTTAAGGACAATTTCATAGCCCAGATTATGTAAAAAGGATGGTGAAAGACCAACTGAAGAGGCTTTTTGGGCCATAGTTTACAACCATAAGCTGATAGACTCTTCATTGGTTAGATGTAAAAGTAATCCCTTCTCAAGGACAAATGCTCAGATCTTTAGCCAGTATTTCAAGGCAGCCCACCACACTTTGGTGGAGAGTGGGCACTCACCTGTTTACAACAATGGAATTGAGTTAGGGACACAGTTTGGGACCTGAAGTAGGGACCGAAGGAACTTAGCTTAGAACCCATTTAACTTAGTAAATAGACCATTGTATCAGACGTTTGAAGCATGAAGGAGTTGGGAAACAGATTTCGTGTTAAAGACTCTTATGACTGATAGAACACAGTGACCTCCCTTTGTGAAGAAGAAACAGAGTATAGCAAGTTTGCTCATCTCTGCCTTCTGACAGATAGTCTGCCAGTGGCAATTTCAGGGCTTTGTGTGGTGAAACAACAGCCCTAGGCTACCAGAAGCATTTAGTCTGCTCTAGATTATGGCCATTAGTACCAATTTACAAGGGGAATATCCTTTTCTTGAAGACCAAAATTTTGGATTTCTCACAGTTGATGGATAACCCGTTTACAGAACAGTAATCTAATAATAATAATAATAATAATAATAATAATAATAATAATAATAAATTTATTTATATCCCACCCATCTGGCTGGGTTTCCCCAGCCACTATGGGTGGCTCCCAACAGAATATTAAAAGTACAATAAAACGTCAAACATTAAAAACTTCCCTAAACAAATCTGCCTTCAGATGTCTTCTAAAAGTCAGATAGTTGTTTATTTCTTTGACATCTGATGGGAGGGTGTTCCACAGGGCGGGCGCCACTACAGAGAAGGCCCTCTGCCTGGTCCCTTGTAACTTCGCTTCTCGCAGTGAGGGAACCGCCAGAAGGCCCTCGGCGCTGGACCTCGTTGTTCACTGATAACTTATTTAGTTGGTATTTCAAGCCAGGTCTGGAACGGGACACACACACACACACACACACACACACATATATATAAAGGTAAAGGACCCCTGGACAGTTAAGTCCACGAAAACACACACACACACTATATGAATCTTATTGAAATATTTGCAATCTAGGCATTAATATAAATGGTTCTTATCCCTGGGTTATTTGTTTCTTCCCCTTTCATTTTGATAACCAACTGATGAATCACAATAAATCATGTAGGGGCAATAACTTTCTAGTGAAATTGAACTTTGAAAAATGTGTGCTACTAGAATCACTGAATACGAGAGAGAGAGAGCCCTTTTCCTACAAATTCATATAAAATGTTGGTAATGTTGAGTTTTGCTTTCTCTTATACCACATATGATGACGTGACTGAGCCTGGGTCCATTTTTAAAATTCTATACAGTACATTTGTAGAAAGTAAATTTGATGGAAGCCCCATTTTAAGCAATCCAGCGATGCAAATCTAGTCACAGGAAAGAAACTATACTTCAGGTGTATAAAGTAAACATTTTAGGTGCACAATTATTTAAATATTTATACACCTGTAAGAATACAATAAAACCCTCAGTAATATTAAATACAAATTTAAAAAACTAAGCAGATATAGTTGATTGTAATTCTGTTGGTGACAATCAGTTCTAAGTCATTAAAAGCTAGCAAGAATAAAACATCTTTATTCTTTATTCTGCTGAGTGTACCTTTAGTAACCTAAAAGTGAGAAAAGATTTCCTGAGATCTACACAGGGCAAGAAAGGTTAAACCACCTTATTATGCTCTCAAAAGAAAATAGGTTTGCTAGCCAAATCTCTTTTCATTATTTAATCAATGTTCACCAAAATGAAAGCAAGGAAGAAGTCATTCAGGTGGCCTACCAGTTTAAGTATTACACGATTCATTAATTATTGTAATAAAGGGCTTTGTTTGAACTAATGCAAGCATTTGAAAATTCCTGTTCTTAAATTTTGTAACTGTAAATAATGTTTATAGTAACTTTAATGATTTGTAATTTCCTGATGTTTTAAGATATTCGTTTTGCATACCATTAAAATAGGTTTGCCCAATGAATTGAAATTCAATGTTATTAATGAATTCACCACAGTTAAATACTCCATACTAAACTTTATGAAGCATAGATTTATTATGTTGATATTCTGTGTATTTCAATATATTGATAGCAATTGGAAGAGGTACAAGCGGAAGACCCCAAAACTACATTTTGCTTCAGGCCGCAGGTTTTCTCTTTGTGGCCCTATTCTACTACATACTGAAGTTAAGACTTCCAACCCTAGCTTCTCCCGCATAATGAACAACATTTCTGGAATCATTACATATTTTTGCTATTGAGTTATGACACAAAAAGGGCACCCTTGGTGTTGTACACAGTAGAACTTTCATCCCATACATAAGATTGCATTGTGAAACTCCTTTTGCTTCACCTCTTCACAACACGGCCAAATGGATGCTGAGGAAAGCAGCTGCCACCTTTTATGATCAGAG